AACTGTCAAAGAAGACTTGGGATGTACACCAGCTCAACTCGTGTATGGTGTTTCCCCCCCCCCACATTCCCTGGTCAGTTAGTTCCTTCTAATGATTCAACTGGTGTAAATATCTCCGATTTTACCAACCGTCTTACACAGCAAATGCTTCAACTTCGACGAGTAGCTCCTCGCCAATCACTTCAAAAAGCTCAAGTTAACAAGAATCCACTCACGTGTTGTTTGTTAACTGTACTGCAAGCATATGCATTCATCAAGGACATATAAATCCCCTTATATATACATGAATTTCTCAAATGCTAACGACCGCATCAATGTTTATTACGTGCATAAATTTTTATTTAAAATTATAACAAGTTTTGATTTCCTTTTATTCCTGAATCATGCTTGCATGTGCTAATCTTTATATGACACGGATGCATTCCATACATTCTGATCTTACTTTGTATCCTTATTTATTACTGTTAGTGTTATTTTTTGTTATCCTTATTGTTAACATTATCAATTATTTATATTGCTTATATTCATGCAATCATTCACGATGACAGTGCTAATGGTCCTTCCGACCTCTAAGAGGGGGAGCCGAGTAGAGTCCTCAAAAATAAACTGATCCAACTTTTACTACTATGTGAGAAATGAGCATATTGTACATTACTTTGTTTTAATCAGAATCTCTGTACTATGAACTTAACCTCTTGATTTCAATGAAAATATAGTTCTGCCTACAACTCTCCGTCTTCTCCACCATCTCAACTGCTATCGGCCAATTCTAATCACCTGCCTTCTATTTCAAAATTTTGAAGGAACACCGTATTTTCTCCCTACGTTACCTTGGGTGATTTCTGGCAATACCGATAATGGAAAATTAGGATTGGAGCAGTCTTCTCACAATGCTTCTGGAGTCTACTGAGTTAATTGTGGATTTGGAACTTGTAAGAAACCAAGTAACAAATTTTAATATATTCCTCCACTAACTGTACTGATTTGGTATTTCTATTTCTATTCGAATTTGGTACATTGAGTTAGCAGAGTCCAAGGTCCGCCACAAACCGTTGACAACCAGCTGAATCAATCGTCTGGAACTGAAACTGGAGTCGACACCATATCCCATTCGAGAGAAATAAAAGAACTATATTCCACATTCTGACGCCCCTTGCAAGTTCTGTCTCTCCTGATCAAAGTAGGCGAGACAGATCTTGCAAGGGGCGTCAGAATGTGGAATATAGTTCTTTTATTTCTCTCGAATGGGATATGGTGTCGACTCCAGTTTCAGTTCCAGACGATTGATTCAGCTGGTTGTCAACGGTTTGTGGCGGACCTTGGACTCTGCTAACTCAATGTACCAAATTCTAATAGAAATAGAAATACCAAATCAGTACAGTTAGTGGAGGAATATATTAAAATTTGTTACTTGGTTTCTTACAAGTTCCAAATCCACAATTAACTCAGTAGACTCCAGAAGCATTGTGAGAAGACTGCTCCAATCCTAATTTTCCATTATCGGTATTGCCAGAAATCACCCAAGGTAACGTAGGGAGAAAATACGGTGTTCCTTCAAAATTTTGAAATAGAAGGCAGGTGATTAGAATTGGCCGATAGCAGTTGAGATGGTGGAGAAGACGGAGAGTTGTAGGCAGAACTATATTTTCATTGAAATCAAGAGGTTAAGTTCATAGTACAGAGATTCTGATTAAAACAAAGTAATGTACAATATGCTCATTTCTCACATAGTAGTAAAAGTTGGATCAGTTTATTTTTGAGGACTCTACTCGGCTCCCCCTCTTAGAGGTCGGAAGGACCATTAGCACTGTCATCGTGAATGATTGCATGAATATAAGCAATATAAATAATTGATAATGTTAACAATAAGGATAACAAAAAATAACACTAACAGTAATAAATAAGGATACAAAGTAAGATCAGAATGTATGGAATGCATCCGTGTCATATAAAGATTAGCACATGCAAGCATGATTCAGGAATAAAAGGAAATCAAAACTTGTTATAATTTTAAATAAAAATTTATGCACGTAATAAACATTGATGCGGTCGTTAGCATTTGAGAAATTCATGTATATATAAGGGGATTTATATGTCCTTGATGAATGCATATGCTTGCAGTACAGTTAACAAACAACACGTGAGTGGATTCTTGTTAACTTGAGCTTTTTGAAGTGATTGGCGAGGAGCTACTCGTCGAAGTTGAAGCATTTGCTGTGTAAGACGGTTGGTAAAATCGGAGATATTTACACCAGTTGAATCATTAGAAGGAACTAACTGACCAGGGAATGTGGGGGGGGGAAACACCATACACGAGTTGAGCTGGTGTACATCCCAAGTCTTCTTTGACAGTTGACCGGATGCTGAGGAGAACTAATGGTAGGTGTTCACTGCACTTAGATGAGTCAGTCTATGCCATTAAGGAGATTTTCAGTTGTCGATGGAAACGTTCCACCAGACCATTTGCTGCAGGATGATAAGCTGTAGTGGAGATGTGTTTCACTCCAAGGGGTCTCGTAAACTCTCGAAACAGAGTTGATTGAAATTGAGCTCCTCGGCCTGTTGTAATCATTGTCGGTACTCCATAGTTTGACACCCAACGATCTAGGAAAACCAAAGCGGCGGTATTTTCTGCAGATATGTCGTTGAGCGGACAAGCAATAGCCCATCGTGTAAATCGATCAATAGCTGTAAGGATATGTGTAAAACCTCTGGATGGTGGCAATGGTCCAACAATATCTATATCCACATGCTGAAGTCGTTTATCTGGTAAGTTGAACTGCTTTGGAGTTGTGATGATGTACTTTGGACCTTTGACATTGCAATCATAGGCGTGCCCATTTCCGAATATCGGAGTTCATCTTGGGCCAAACGAAACGCTCACTGATTAACTTAGCCGTAGCACGTACTCCAGGATGAGACAGAGAATGTAGATGTTCAAATAAAGGTTTCCGACAACTTTATGGAAGAAAAGGTCGATGAACGCTGGTGGAAACGTTGCAGACGATAATTGTATCGGACAGAGGAATAGGTATATCCTGCAACTGTAGGGAGGACTTTCGTCTACAAGTATGAAGTTTGGCGTCATTTTTTTGCAACTTTGCTATATTGTCTAAGCTAATGTCTATCGAAGATAGAAGCTGATTAACATCACATCGATACAAGGAATCGGCCACAATATTGGAATCTCCTTTAATAAACTGGATGTCTGTCGAGAATTGTGACATGTAATCCAGTTGTCTGGTTTCTCTCGGAGAGTGTTTGTCCAACGAAGTGGTAAAAGCATAACAGAGAGGCTTATGGTCGGTTAAGATAGTAAAATGTCGACCTTGTAATAAGAAGCTGAAATGTTTCACTGCTAGATAGATAGCTAACAGTTCTCTGCCAAAGGTACTGTAACGAGTTTGCTCAGAATCCAACTTCTTGGAGAAGAAAGCAAGTGGAGTGATGTCATTGTTAAAGTTTTGTTGTAGAACTGCTCCAACTGCTACCTGCTACCCTGGCATCCCGTGCCATTGATGTCTGTTGTGTTTCAGAAACACGCATATAAGACCCAAGTGCGGTTATTCACCTAACCTCACCTGGCCAACAGGATGAATCTTCAAAATTCACCTTGAGGGTGTCAGGAGATGCCACAGCCAGTTCACGAGGATTAGCTGGCGTAGGGATAGCTTGAGTACTAGGGCAGAAAAGACATTACTTGACTGGATCCCGGTAGATAGCCGAATGTGTGCTGTCCGTCTGAACGGATCAGTAAGAAGGAGAAAGGACTGCACTACTCGCCGATGCCTTTTCGTAATCTCCGCCTACGCCCCCACTGACTGCAGTTCGGATGAAACGAAGGATGAGTTCTACCAAAAGCTGTCTAGTTTGGTACGAAAGGCTAAACGCTCAGATATAGTCGTTCTAGCTGGTGACTTTAATGCTCAAGTAGGGAAATTGTGTCAATCTGAGAAGGATATCGGTGGCACCTATGGAGTCTCGTGCCAGCGAACCGACAACGGTGACCGTCTCCTACAGTTCTGTTCAGATAATCATTTGTTTCTCGTAAGCACTAACTTTAAACACAAGGAGAGACACTGTTTGACCTGGCGACCCCCATCATCAAACCAACGCTGGACACAAATAGACCACATAGCAATAAGCTATCGTTGGCGTGGGTCGGTAGGAGATTGTCGCTCCTTCTGGAACACGTGTGTAGATACCGATCACGCACTGGTCCGGGCTCGTGTGTGCTTACGACTGAACGGACGTAGGAAACAGCTGGCGGTAAAACCATCACGTCCCCAGCTCGATCAGGAAACTAAATCCCTATTTGAGGAAGAACTAGCTAAACACATATCTGAGTTCGACAGCTGTGCTCACCCTGAGAAGCCTGGAAGAATATTCAGTCAGCTATAGATACAGCTGTAAAAGCTGTGAATAAGGCAAATCCAAAGGTGAGTAAAAACCACTGGATTTCGACTGCCTCATCCGAACTGATAGATGCTAGAAGACTTATTCCGGCGAGCTCCGAATTCAATGAGGAGCGAAAGCTGCACAAAAGGAAACTTACTAAAAGTCTCCGCAAGGACCGTGAACAGTGGTGGCTGACAAAGGCAAAAGAGATGGAAAAAGCATCGGCGATAGGCAACACTAGGCAACTCTTTAGACTCATCAGGGAAACGGGTGGGAGAAGGCAAATCATAAGTGAGACTATTTCTGAGAAAAATGGCTCCTTAATTAGCTCTCAGGATAGACGCCTTGAACGCTGGAAAGAACACTTTGAGGGACAATTTAACTTGCCTACAGCCACACTGAACCTCCCCACATCCACACACACCCGAATGGGATATAGACACTGGTCCGCCGTCTGTAAATGAGGTCACAAAAGCTATCAGTAATTTGAAACGAGGCAAAGCGGCAGGACCCGACGGAATTATTCCGGAGGTGTTTAAATATGGGGGTGACATACTAGTTTGTAGATTAACTGAGGTACTAGGCAAAGTCTGGGAATCAGAGACAGTGCCATCAGACTGGGGTAAGTCACTTATTATACCGATATTCAAGAAGGGAAACAAGTCCTCGTGTGATAATCATAGGGGGATCAGCCTAACGAACATAGTCTCTAAAATCCTAGGCTCAGTAATCATGCATAGACTAAGCAGAACTCGGGAGGAACAGACAAGGGAAAATCAAGCAGGCTTTAGACCAGGTAGAGGGTGCATAGATCATATCTTCACTCTTCGACAGATTCTAGAACATAGACACACTTTTCGGCGTCCAACAATTGTCATATTTCTTGACTTGAAGGCGGCCTTCGACTCCGTGGATCGAAAGGTACTATGGCAATGTCTGACTGTGAAGGGAGTGCCAAGAAAGTACATTGCACTAATCAAGGCACTCTATTCAAACTCACGTAGTCGTGTAAGGGCTTATGGGGAATTGTCATCTGAATTGGTAACAACCAGTGGTGTCCGACAGGGATGTCCACTTTCCCCATTTCTGTTTAACTTCATCATAGATATGCTGATGGAAGTATCCTTAACTGAACGTAACGACTTAGGAATCGACTTGTTACCAGGGAAAAAAGTCTTATGGACTTAGAATATGCAGATGACATAGTCCTGTTAGGGGAGGATGCTGACAAAATGCAGAGTCTTCTGAACACCTTGAGCAGCAATCTTCGTATGTTTGGCATGCGATTCGCCCCTGCAAAATGTAAGATGCTGCTACAGGACTGGACTACGTCAACTCCTAGCTTAGTGATAGGGAGTGAAGTGATAGAACATGTTGACCACTTCACCTATTTGGGAAGTTGTATTAGCACCAACGGACTGATTGGCGATGAAATCTCAGCACGGATCCGAAAAGCTCGAGCTGCTTTCGCTGACTTACACCATCTCTGGCGTAGGCGTGACATCCGGCCATCAACCAAGGGACGTGTGTACTGCTCATCAGTTCGCTCCGTCCTTCTCTATGGCTCTGAAACATGGCCAATACGAGTTGAAGACATGAAAAGGTTGACTGCTTTCGATCATAGATGTCTGCGATCTCTGTCTCACGTTAGGTGGTTAAATAAGGTAAGTAATGTTGACGTTAGGCGTAGAGTGTTGGGCAAAGAGGGAAAATCAATCGACGAGGCTATAAAGTTACATAGACTAAGATGGCTAGGTCACGTGCTGCGCATGCCTAACCACCGCCTCCCCCGACGGGCATTGCTAGCTGATATAGGTGCAGGTTGGAAAAGAGCCAGTGGTGGCCAAACAAAAACATGGCCTCATCAATCCATGAAATCCTTGACAGTTAAACTGAGTCAGGTAGGGAGATGCAGACTTCCGGGTTGGGGCCCTCGGGACTCTAGGAATCAATGGCTGGAGACAATAGGTGACATGGCTCAAAATCGTTGTCAATGGCGCAGATGTATTCAGTCTCTGTAATCTTTCATATTCCTTTCTACCATTACCCATTCTGTTTCACTCGTATATTTGTCAAACTCTATTGATTCTCTTCACTCATCTTCTTGTCTACCTTTGTGTGCTATTTGGAACGTGGCAACTCGAACTGCTGCACTTCGGTGCCAAGTTCTATGTTGAATCCAGACAGAGACAGACAGACCTGCGATGCATCTGTACATAGAGTGAGGCTTCTGGATTGATGTGAGACAACATTACGACGTTGGATAAAGCATCTTTTGCTTTACTAACTGCTTCTTCAGACCACTGAAATTTCTTCGGATTGCATCTTAGTAGGTCGGTCAGTGGCTGAATTACGGAGGCACATGATGGGATAAAACGTCGATAGAAATTGGATATCCCGAGAAAACGTCTAAGCTTCTTTAAGGAATCTGGTTCGGGAAAGTTCTTAATAGTTTCTATCTTACCTTCGGTAGACCTAATGCCTTCAACTGTTATTCAATGTCCTAAAAATTCAATGGAAGAGGAACCAAAAATACATTTCTTGGGATTGATAACTACTCCAAATTGTGCCGGTAGTCAAATCCTTCACATGGATAAGGCGACTGGTGTGATTGCCAATAACAGCCATCGCCACTACTGTCTGGCTGGGGAGTTTCCCTGAGCTGAGTTACCATTGTTGTATGTGCACGGTCTAATACACTTCAGGGCATTATGCCCATACCTCATGTGGTACCAACAAATATTACGGCTTTGAGGTGTTGTAGAACGTCGTCTAGATCTTGATCGCCGTTGTTCGGATAGCGTATGTGACTGGTTTCGATGTGCTCGTAGCTCAGACACTTCCAGTCTTGCATTTGTGATGATAAGTGAGAAAGGAACCAACACATATTGGTGTGTCTTTCATAGACGTGGAAGGAACTGGTGGTACTGCCTGTGTAGACACACTATTTATGCCAGTACTTGATAATATATGCAAGTTGTTATCTGCCATCTTTGCTAGTTCTTCAAGGTCAGACGTCTTCGAAGATATCGTTAGGATTCGTTGAACATTTTGTGGTAAGCGTTGTAAAACATCTGACGTAGGATTAGCTCATCTACTTTACATGATCCGATCAACTGACGCATGTGTCTAAGTAGTTGAGATGGCGTTTTGTACCTAACTCACACACAGTAAGTGGTTGTTGTATACGTTTCTCATTGGAGACGGTGGTTCGCTGGATAAGTGCAGGTTTTAGCTTGTCATATTGGTAATCTGTAGGTTTACTGTCTATGACGTCGATAACCTCTCGGAGTACTTCGGTGGGTATTGCAGCTAGTACATAACCATAATTGGCAATCTGCGATGTTATACCCTGTGCTGCAAATAACTGTTCGATGATTGTGAACCAGACACGTGGTTCGGTCAGATCAAATTGTGGTCATCTTAGATCAGGCAAGGCGTTAACAGAAGAGTTTTGTATCTCTTCACCTTTCTTAAGTTCTGGCGGGATAGTCGTACGTACAGGTGGAGCCATTGTCAAAAAAATTTGAATGTTATGATATACACAAATAGCAAGAAGTGTGATGACAAAAAGGAGTATAATGAGAATATACAGGCCTAAAATAGCCAAAATATGCTCAAGACGGATAAACTATCGAAAAAAAACGTTCAAAACGGGCCAAAATACAGAAAAATGTTCCAAAATGGGCTCACCAATTATTGTGGCGGATCTTAGACTTTGCTAGCTTAATATATCAATTTCGAATAGGAATAACAAATATAAAGTCCGTAAAGTTACTGGAAGAATATATTAAAAGTTGTTACTTCGCTTGTTACAAGTTCCAAATCCATAATTAACCCAGTAGACTCCAGAAGCATTGTGAGAAGACTGCTCCAATCCTAATTCTCCATTATCGGTATTGCCAGAAATCGCCCAAGGTAACGTAGGGAGAAAATACGTGTTCCTGCAAAATTTTGAAATAGAAGGTAGGTGATTAGAATTGGCCGATGGCAGTTGAGATGGTGGAGAAGACGGAGAGTTGTAGGTAAACAACATTGTTATATCACTCGTCTAGCAATGATCTGAAACAGAGAAAGCGCATGTTAGCAGTGTGATCACACAAGTGTCGCGTGCTGGTAAGGACGAGGACTCAAGGTCAAGGATTATATTTACAACCAACTTTCTTACAATTAGATAAGAGGGAACAGACATTCCTATTGGTCATCCGTCGCCTTGTCTTGGGTAACCAATCCCTGTACACTTCGTAGCCGACCTGAGAGTAGACAACCACAGCTTGAAAATTAGGAAACCGCCGAACTTAACATGCCTTACAATATGTTCATTGAAACCAGGAGGTCAAGTTCAAAGTACAGAGATCCTGATTAAAACAAAGTAATTTACAATATGTTCATTTCTCACATAGTAGTAAAAGTTGGATCATTTTATTTTTGAGGACTCCACATATTAAGCTAGCCTACTATTAGATCCGCCACAGGTGTCTCTCGAGGTTATTCATAGCAGGTGCGGTAGGTCTATTTTTACTTTTGATACGAGTTAATAAAATCTCTCCTCGTCAGCAGCCTATCTTCCCGTCTTGCGTAGCGTTTTTGGTAGTGTCGCGTCATATTGCTTTTGGTGATAGAAGTTAGAACATTAGGCTCATGAATCGAATAAGTAGTAAATTCGTTAGCGACTCTGCAAGTTTATTAACTGTTATATCAAGTCTGTTGCACCCCTCAGTCCGTTAAAGACCTCATTCTGAACTGGGAACTCTTAAGTAAAATTGTCACTGTTCTCCATTTCACTTTGGCTTGTCGTTTAGAAGATGCCCATCAGGGGTTAACATGCACTGTGCAAAAATTTTGTGAAGGCGTATTTTGTCTGATAAAACCCTTACTTCAAGATAAAAGGAAAGTACGACTGATACAACGCCGAAGTACATTTGTTTAACACCTACCTTAATCAGTCTGTTCATATATGTTTAAATCGCCGGGGTATCTAGTACAGAGTACTACGACTGATTTAAGCGTAGATAGGTTTTGCTCATTCACTGTCAAATTAGGTCTTAATTTGTCATCAATGCAAGCCCAGTCGCATTTGTCAGTGCAGGATTTAGTACACCATAATACGAGACTGCTTATTTCAAGGCGAACGTTACTTATGAGGTCGTCACACTTGTGACTGCAGCAAGGATAAACGACTTCAACGTTTTAGGTATGCGAGAATGGTTTATTTGAGGTGAAGCAGTCATGAGTGCTGTTAAGGTAGACTACATATAGAAGTGGTCTTATGACACTATCCTGTGCAACCCAACTTGTTATCCGCTTAGAGGGAAACGATGCACATGAGACTTAAGTTATTTGCACCCTATCGCTTAGACATGATTTAGGCCAGTCAAGTAGTGGAATACGGATTCCAAGGGAATACAACGTCGCAAAGAGAATACTGCGGGATACTGTGCAGAATGCGTTTGATATATTCAGATGGAGAACTGTAAATCAAGTATCATAAAACATAAATGCCCGGCTCTTGCTACGCCAAACCTCACGCTGTCCCTCGAAGATTTTAAGAAACGCTTAGTAATACCGGACACAAAAACTAGAACACCGATTGGCGACTCGAGAATTCCTTATTCTAACACCAACATATAACCAACATGACTGGCTTCACAGACTAAGGTTTAAGAACAAATATTACAACAATAAATCACGATATTACTTCTGACAGTGTTTTTCTATATCCTTTGTGAACAGCAACCGATGAGACGATGGCTGATGTATCGAAGTCTCCGCGAAAATATAGGGAAGTTGGTTTTGAGCAAACAACCATGAATTGATCGTTCAATCTTCAACTACACTGACACTCACCGGCAAAAATCGGATCCCTCCCTTTTTTCCATCACGACCAATACACGTTGACTTGGATGCCATTGCAAGAACCTGGGTCACTCGGACAGAGCTGAAATGGAAAACAAACAGGAAAGCCATCACACCACAAGCATGCCCACAGCACAATCTCACACATCAATGACGACCTGCGCCTCCAGATAAAGGTATCCTCTTGACATCTTGAAACACAACCGCCACTTGCTAGAATGACTCTTGCAGAAAGCAACGTGACCATAGCACCACCTCACGATACTCCACGCACGTCCTCGTATCTACTCACTGCCAATTACCACTGAAATCGCTTGTCACTCATTCTGCCTTAGTTCTAGTAACGGTGACGTATGCGAGCCTCAGTCGTTTACACTCTTTCTCCCCGGCGTGTGGGACCGCAGCTAACAATTATCTCCATGTGCATTTCATTCTCAGCAATAGCCTCCCCGGCGTATACGACCCATCTGCTGTCTTTAACATCAATCAATTCATTCACGGATGTAGAAGACTCGAAACAACTTCAGAAGTAAGCACGACGAAAATTTTAACAAAATTACGCAATAACAACAAGGTACGAAAACAACAAGTAAACACAGTGAATCCAAAAAACACCAATTGATATGAAACACGACATGCATATACAAACAGTAGACACAAACTCGCGGATCATGTATTGATGGAATTCCTTCGAAGAATCGCAGGACTTACAGCTTTACGTCTGCAACC